AGCATTGTCAGGCTCGGTGCTGTCAATGGCCGGTTCATGGTCATCGGTCGGGGTCAGGGTAGTCGAAACTGCGCCAGAAGACGAAGCGGGGTCACGGCGTCGGGGAGGACGAATGGGGCCGTGAAGGGAGGTAAGGTCGAGATTGAGGTAGAAGGTCTGACCGTACGGGAAACAAATTAAGCTCAAGCGAACGTCTAGAAAGAGTGAAAGGAACAAGCAGTCAATCATACCTCGGTGTCGACATGGTGGTATTCATATTCGTAGTCGGAGTCATGATCCTCATCTGTCAACATGGCCGGGTCCAAGACCAATATCGGCTCGGAATGAGACTGCATGATTTAGACCGGTAGGATCATTGGGCATAAATAGCTAGCTGGAAAGGACGACTAGCTAGTTCAAAGTTCAAATGATCAACCCCGTTGAAATCAAAATTTGGATTGAGAGTCACAGTGCCCCTCTAGATAGATAGATTGATAGCTACCTTAGTGCTCGAGACCCGTTTTTTTCTTTCCCCTAACGAAGGGATAACGGAAGAAGGCGGCGGGCAGAAACTCCACTGCAGCCGCTGGATAATACCTTGTGGGGACTGGGACTGGGAACCAGGCGGTCGCTGACTTGTTATTTAACTCCTGTTATGCTAATGACTGAAGAAGACTGAGGGCGAGGACTGAGGAACAGGGATTATTGATGACGATGTTTGATTTCCACAGGGCTGACCCATGGTAAGATACTAGACTACTGACAACAAACAGATACATCTTTCTTAAGGTTCCTCTCTACTACTGTTGTCTGAATATAGTGTTGTACGAACACAGTCATGATGATCTTCCCTGTGCTTGTCAGTCTGCAAAGATCAACTTAATTTAATTCCTTCAGTTTGGATCGTCCCTGGTGATTTCATCCTTTCGGGCTGCATTCTTTCTTCCATCATCCTCCATCATTCCAATCCCCGGTTTCATCCATCCCATCTTGTCTACACTACCTCGTCTTACCCCTCCATATCAGCCAAAAGTCAACAGTAACACAGTAACAATCCACAAAAAGTAAGCTGCTCGTATTTATCATCATCATCATCATCTGTTGTCATCAATTGTTCCCGTGTTTCCATCAAGATCCATCTGCAATACCAGGCAATCAAACAATTAATAATGCTCTGCCCTACGGAAGATCACCGATGGTGTTATCCATATCCGTCGTCTTCCGCTCAGAGACAACCCCATGCACCTCCGTCCAGATCCATCTGTTGATTCGATCATCTTCATGTTCATGTTCCCTGTTCGGTTCATACTTGCCTGCTTGCCGATCCGATTTGCTCTTCTTGTCCTCCCCTGTCCGCCTGCATCATCATTGGCACACATCGTCAATCCGGCTCTGCGCGGAAGCAAGGAGCTATCCACCGTCTACATGAATCCGTCACTTTTTGCTGCTCTCACGTTCTCTGTTGAAGAATGATGATGTTTGTTCCTTTTACACTTTTTTTTTTTTTCATCTATGTCTGTTATATTCACACCCATGGCCCTCATAATTATCTAATCCCCTTCCGTTATACCCGGTCCCTCCTTCTGACTGGATGATCCCTAGCTTTTGTCTTTCCCTTTCTGCCCATGAGTTCGGATTTCTATTATTTTGCATTTATTTTCTTTTACCCTGACTCGGTCGTTGCGCACGGGATCCATCACTCAAGTCGGTAGTGGTCCTGGTCATAGCTGTTCTCGACCACTGCTAACCTGGCAATGCCTTCTTATAGTGTCGTCCCCTCCATCCTCGGGCCTGGTTGCCCTGACTCTCTGCTCTTTTTTGTACACGCTCCTCGTCTTCTGCCCCGTAGTCACCTCTCATGACCCTCATCTTTCCTCATTTCCCTCTGAGGAGTCTTCCTTGACCATCCCGATCTCACTTGCGCCTGGCCGTGTAATCCCAATCGGGACATCCTTAAGCCTTACTACCCTTACTACTACTACCAGAGCGGCCACGTCGACCAGCACTGCCCACAATTATCAGGCTGATCCCTTGGTGCCTGATCCTTCTTCTAGAGCAAATACATCCAACGTCGGGGTTGTCTCCCTGGCTGTGGAGCAGATGATTGGCAAAGCGAAAGGCACCATTATCGTTTTGTCTTCACTGATCGCATATGTCTCCATCAATAGCTTAGTACGTGCCTTGAATCCGGACGCATTCATCTGGTACAATGAGGACAGGGATGAGCAGCGCTGGATCGCATCCTCCCGGTCGTGGTTTGACCGTAAAGCCTGTCGCTGGCTGAGTCTCTGCGGTACCGCTCATTTCCACACGGTTGGTCCGCGCTTCGGCCAGCGGAAAGCCCTCACAGAGTCCAATGCCTCTGTCTTGGCGCAAGACGAGGCCGCTCCGTGGCGGTCCTTCTGGTTCCGAGAACAGGAGCATCCGGCGAATCAGTGGGATGATGCCGAACGTTCGCTCAGAGAGATACCGGACTATGTTTTTGAATATGCTCCGCTCGTGCATCTATTCTCCAGAGAGCAGTTCTGGCCATGTGATATCGCAGAGCACCTGTTCCACACCACTCCAATGTTAAACTACACGCCGGTGCAGTCACAGCATAATCATCCAACGTTGGAGGATTTGGACCAACTGAACCAATGGCAGGATGGTCGCTACGTCTTCTTAACCAGTAATGATGATGTGGAGGAACGGCCCCCGTGGATGGAAGGAGAAAAGAATATCCCTGTTTCGCCAGATGAGCACTCTGAAGAATCATGGTCTGACTGGGACGGTCGAGTGGATGGGGCCATTCCGGGAGATACACCCGAGGGCCGCTTAAAATGGTATGACACGAACCACAAATCAATGTCGGAAGATGAAGCAGCCAATCTACCATTGGAGGATCTCGGTTACTCCAAGTCAGAGGATCTTCTGCAGGACGAGAGGGTCAGGGACGAGCTGCGGAAACGATACGGTGGCGAACCGATAAAGATGCAAGAGACCGGAGGCCGAAGTGAGGCGCCTGCAGTGCTGCTCGTCGTGGACAAGGGCAACGGCATAGTCGATGCCTTTTGGTTCTTCTTTTACAGTTTCAACCTCGGAAATGTGGTTCTGAACGTGCGTTTCGGCAACCACATCGGCGACTGGGAGCATTGCCTCGTCCGTTTCTATAACGGCAAGCCTAAAGCTCTCTTCTTCAGTGCACATTCCGCGGGCGAGGCATATAGTTATGAAGCGGTGGAGAAAATCGGACAACGGGTAAGTTGCCACTCCCACACTGGTGATTTTGATTGAGTTAGAGGCTAATCAATCGTTTCCAATGTGTAGCCAGTCATCTATTCCGCAGTGGGTACGCATGCCATGTATGCCACTCCTGGTGTCCATTCGTATGTTCTACCCTGGGGACTTCTTCATGACCAAACGGACCGAGGACCTCTCTGGGATCCTCTCTTGAATTCGCACATGTATACGTATGATCATGTGAATGACACGTTGCGCGCCTCCACAGCCAGCCCGTTGGCACCTACGGAGTGGTTCTACTTTAACGGTCACTGGGGAGATAAGTTCTATCCTCTGGGAGACCATCGACAGTATCGCTTCGCAGGCCAGTATCACTACGTTAACGGTCCCCTGGGCCCGCGGTTCAAGCATCTGAACCGCCGCAAGGTGTGCCAAGGGCCCGACGAGGATCCTTGTGTGATTAAAGATTGGGTGGGCGAAAAGATGCGGCCCAAGCGCCTGTCGAATCCCCAGCCCCACGAGAATCCAGTCTGATCTGGTAATTCTCAAATGAAGCATCGCTGCCCTGGTTGGCACTGAAACGGTGTTTTGGTTGAAATGTGTTCCAAGTGAACAACCTAGCGTATCCCCGTGGGAATCCCCTGCTTCAGTGTTTGTATCTGTTGCATTTATCGCATATACCCCTCAAGTTTTTTCTTGTTGCTTGTCAAGGCCCGGAGCTGGAGCTAGACGGTGAAACGACAACGCATATGACGGATGATGAGACCCAAGATTTCCTTTTATATTGATGTCGGAGTTTTCTGCAGCCAGAAGGTGGAGTTACTGGACCCTTATGCTTTATCTGATTTCCACACTTTGGGACTGGTGTTGCGGTTTTATGAATGTTGATTATTATAGGGATAGACTCGGAAGACGTGATGTGGACGAAGTCGAAATATCCGAAATATTAGAGAGGTAGACTTACTCAAATATTCCTAAGATATTTCCCGTACCACTGTCTTTAAAATGAATTGCTCATTCCACTCAATCACTAGGAAACCCTACATAAGGACAAGGAAACTATCAAACGCTTGCTTGCTAAGGTAGAGCCATCAACTTCAACATGAAAACGATGTACTCAGCTCGCCAAGATGGGCAAAGAGGTATTGGCGCATGTAGTAAGGAAAGACGAAAGAAGTAGACCCAGACTCAGGCCTTTGATTAATCCCTCCAACACAGAGAAGAGCCCAGGGTACGTACGCAAGTGAAAGTTGAAGTCAACGATGGTTTAAGAAAACTGGCCGAGAAAGACGAATGAACGAAATGAATCCCTCTGAGACGAAATACACCAGGGTTATCAGCCGGTTTGTCCCATTACACGCACATGAACGCCAAGTAAGGAATCGATAATCGATGAAGAAGAAATAAGAAAGGTAGTTGAAGTGGTCAACAAGGTAGTAAAATACCCTGTGGTAAAAACGATTAATGCAATGAAGAAACACCAAAACCAACAATTACCCCAGGAGAACCCTTGCCAGCAATGGAACGCCCGTGTGCGACATCCTGTAAAACAACCGAAAGAGCAGAAGATGACCTTGAAATCGGACGCTTAGAAACTCCGCCTGATGTTTCCCAAATGCCAAACCACACATGTGAATCCTGCCTTCTCGGCTCTCACTCTCAACCTTGCCGATTTCCAGGCCGGATTCCTATGAGAAAAGGAAAAAAAAGAAAGACAGAAACACAAAGGAAAATGAAGTCATAAGCGTCATGGATAGAACCGCTTTAGTATAGGTCAAAATTGAAGAGCCCAAACCAGGTCACACTCGCGTAGTTCGCTTGCGCAAGCCAAACTCCTGCTCTTGCAATTCGCGAATCAAGCGTAAACTCTCCGCATCAGGTTCATCATCAGCAATCGCCGTGCGTTCACGTTTCGCGCCCTTATGCCCTGGCGACGTTGAAGTCGTAGTCATACGGTCAAACTTCTTCTCTGTCGCCGGAGAGACTCCTTTCTTCGCATGAGATGACGAAGGGCGTGATGCAGATTTCTTCGAGCTTTCCTGCACACCAGGGGTTACTCTACGAGCGGTCGTTGGCCCACTGAAGGATGCCCGTCTTGTAGACGGTGTGTGCGTCGTCTTCACAGCTTTGGCTGGCTGGCTTTCGGGCACATACCTGTCAACGTGACGTGGTTGACGGGAGGAATGTCGGGAACTAGCAGTAGGCGTGTAATAAACAACATGGTTGTCTTTCTCCCCATCTTGCTCGGGAGGCACATCCGTCTCGTCTGCCTGAGAAGTTGGCGGCGAAACAAGTGAAGCGGTTGGCTTCGATACGGCTGCCCCGTCGACCTCCATAACGACCGTGTCTGACTGAAATGCCGGCGGGGATGCGTACGAAGTCTGCCCCACGTGAGTCTTTCTCTCGGCAGACGTCAAATTTGTCTGAGCTATGCCATTGTGGTCGTGCGAAGTGCCAAAGTATGAAGAAGCTTCCAAATCAACTGGCCTCTGCGTATGAGACATGTCCCCTTCAGCTCTGAAGAGACTGGCCGGCCTCGCCACAGGAGACGTGCTTTCCTGCTTCGGCCTCTTGGCAGAGGCTGCCGCCCTGGGCTTCGATCGTTCTTGGGCTTTGATAGGGTCGATTCTGCCATATTCATCATGAATGCACCGGCGCTAAAGAAATCGTCAGATATGCACGTGCACAGGGAGAGAAACAATAAAAACGAACCTTGCTCTTTCGGCAATCATCACAAGCCTTGCTGCGCCCTTTCTTTCCTGTGCTAAGACCCTCGGGACTGCCATCATTGACTTTGCTGGTGGCTGCATTCGGTGTGCTCAAGATGGCAGTGCTGTAATTCCCAGAACCTTCAAGTCGATCTAGACCATACCCATTCGCGGCGTCCTGAAAGCCTGCTTCAGACGCAATGGCCGCCAACGAATTCAATGCCGATGCGGCATCGTGAGCCAAAGATGATTGGACTCCTGCAGGGAAAGATCCAAACGTCGTTTGCTTTGCCGATATTGTGTCGTTGTGTTCATCCTTATGCCGACATCGGATTCTTCGCTTACGACACGCATCACAGGCAACACGCTTAGGACCCAATCCAGAGCTGCGATGTATAGATCGAGGTTTCTGAACCATTTCTTCCTTCAGTTCGTTCGTCTCGGTGCCTGGAAGCGTCGAAATAACGGTAGGCTGAGGGATCTCAACGGTCGAAGGCGCAGAAGAGCTTTCTTCACTGGAAAGGCCATTGGTCAAATCTGGAGGTTGTTCTAGTGGCCGTTGTACAGCTTGCCGTTCTGCATACATGCGCTGTCCCTCTGCATTTCGCTCTGATCGACGGCTAGGTCGCCCTGCTGGCTTCTTCTCCGTGAGGCTGAGTTTAGCGTTGCTTTCCACCACACCAGGGCGTGTCCATTGCGGAGCCTTTTCATTTCCACGCTTCCACGCTACCCAGATTCCAAACTTTCTCACTGTGTCGACTGGGTCTCCTTGGCCCTTCGGTATAGATCGCTTGACAGCGTTCCTAGCGTCCATCGTCACTCCCTCAACCATGTAGCCACTGGCAATTAATGCTGTCCGAAGCAGGTACTTGGCAAGATCTGGAAGCCCCTCGAGTTCGGCCTGGGAGTAAAATCGAGAATTGTGATATGGATCCCCGGCAGGCGCCTTATTTTCCCGCTCCCCGAATTCGTAGTAGATAGGATAGGCTCTGTGAAATCGGTAGTTTTCATCCTCAGCGAAAGCGTCGAGCACACTTTGAGGGATAGGGTCGTCCTCCAGGTATTTCAACGCGGTGTACCATTGGATCCTCTGGAAGAACGGATACCGAAACTTCCTAGGAACCTTGGTATCTTTTTCGATCTTGGCAACCTTGATCTGCATACCATAGTTAAGACGCGTCAAGAAATTACCGCCAATGACCAGGCTGTTCGTAGGAGTCCAGACGGCGTGGATCCAGCCAGATGGAATCAACATGGTATCGCCTTCGGACAGATCGACGCGGTAACACTCCTTGGTCTGGTCGCCAAGGAACGTGGAGTCTTGCGCGGGAGAGTTGCACCAGTCTTCATATTTCTTCAGATGCTTGTCTTTAGGTGGGATGAAGAAGAAAGTCTTTTTGCCTTTAAGAATGTGATAGTAGACCGAAGAACCGCCGAAATCGATGTGGAAATCGGTATAGCAGTCTGCGACAGACATCAGGCAGTAAAATTGAACTTTCGGATAATCGCCGATGGCTTTGAGCTCTTCAGGCCATACCGCATCCTGCAAGTCAAGATCACGCACAATTTTTGGTCGGCGTATCAGTCTGCCCAATTTACTTTGTGAGACCTCCAAACTGATCACGTTGCGAACGACCTTGGAGCCGGTACTCTCATAATAGTCAGCCCATTTCTGCATGTTCCACCTTTTGTCCTCGCCCTGCTGCGATTTGACGTCAATGACTTCGACTCTCTCTTCAGGACCGTAAAGCTCCGCCACCGTTCGGACAGTGAGACCCTGAGGAACAACCATGTCCAACTGGTCTTGGCCGCAATCGACGACGGTCTCGAAGTCCTTGCCCTCCTCGGGGACGTGCTCCAACAGTTCGTCGAACATCTCTTGGCTAGTAGCCTCCTGGACGAGCGCGTCGAATTCGGGGTCGACAATGGGAATAGAATCACGGGTGTTGAGATGTGCTGGAATAACGATTGGCTCTGTCATGCCGCTACCACGTTCGAAATATTCGGCAGTGACCAACTCCGGTCTCATCCGCGGGAAGTTTTCAGGGAGAAAGCGAATCTTGCCTTCCCGAATGGGTTCAATATAATGATGTTCCAGAGAATCGCTGGCGGCCTTGACAAGACCCTGGTTGAGACCAGCATAATCAATGGCAGTGCGGGTTCGAGAAGACTTTCGAACAAACGTTGTCTGTCCGTGGATCGGTCGACACCGGCGACAGATGAACTTGTCGACTGTCCGTATCTCGCGATCATTCTTAAATCCGGCACAAACGATATGAAACCATTGCTTGCAGCCGTCACAACTGATCCATGTGACATCCCCTTGTTCTTCTGAATCCACCGGTATTCGGACCAGATTACAGGCGGCGCAGTTCGCTTGGTTGTTCTCGTCGGATTCTGTTTCGTCATCTCCCCGGGGAGGCACATCCAATGATGCGCGATCAGCACCGGTATCTATCCCTGTGAAGACTGAACTCTCGTATCGTGCCTCAGCCCCGGGAAATTTCGTGCCTGGGGTTCCTGAGCCCATTTTGGCATTGCCTTCTTCCTCTTGCCAGACAATTGGAGGAAGCGTAGAAGAGCTTGTGTTGGGCCGTACTCCCTGAATGACCGGTCGAGAAATGAAGGCCGAACCGTCCGACTGAGATCTCATTCGAGATGCTGGAAATGCAGTATTTGCGGAAGTGTGATACGCGGATTTCTCGTCATCTGGCAGAATATATGTGCTTCCGAGACCAGCCCGAAAGTGGCTTTTCGGTTCCTCGCCGTAGTGAGGATGGTACGACTCATCAATGCTCACCCGCTTCGAGGGGTAGAAAGCGGCAGGGTGGAAGTTGCTTGGTCTCGCGAAATTTAGAAGAAGCTCAGCATCGGTTTTCATGCTGTCGAAGGTGGAGGAAGGATTTGCATCCGGCGCGACGGATGTCTGCGGTTGATGTAAGGGAGACGGACTTTTCTCCGACCGCGGTCGCTTGGCTGGACGTTCTGTACTTTCAATGGACTGGGAAGGAAAGAGTGACATGGCAGGCGTTGAGTCTTGAGAAGGAGGTCTGTAGGAAAGAGGCGCAAAAGTAGGACTGGTCGCTAAGGCGATTGTCGCGAGAGTGTCAATTGTGGAGCTGGAGCGGCCATGGCTGGTTCGGCCATGAGATCCCCGATTTGTGCTCGAATAGACATCATTGTTCAATGTGACCCGATCGCGATCAGAGCTCGCAGCTTGCGAGGCTCCGCGGTCAATCCACGAGGCACGAAAGTCGGTGGTTGTGAAAGGAGAGATAGGCTCCACGGCGCGTCGCGGAGGAGACGGAGTGCGGTATCGCGGCGGTCGAGGCCCGGAGTGGTTCAAGAAGGACGTGGCACCTATCATGATGAAGCCTGGGAGTAGTAGAGAGAAGGTAAAAGGAAATAAAAGGGCCGGAGAAGATTATGATGTGCCTGCGGAAGGCGAGTTCAAAGCGGGGGTGATAAACCACGCGGGCTAGAGAGAGGCCACCGCAGGCAAAAAGAGAGTCATTCCTGGCAGACGATGAAAGCGCACAGTCAGGAAACGATAAAGAAGTGCGGATTAGGATGAAAAATCGAGTACTGAATGGATGAGACGTTGAGGGAGCAAGGTCGCACGCCGGAGCGCTGGGAAGTTGAGGGGGAGGGAAGTTGACTCTCTCTGCCGACTACTAGTTCGAGGGCGGGAGAGTACTGCAACACCGAGTGCGAGACGCACCGCCGCGGCAGGCGGGCAAAGTTATTGAGAGGTTTGTCACCACAGGGACAGTGACCGATTTCTGAGGAATGGAAAGATGATTATGGCTAGAGATGATTGAAGCAAGCGCGGTCAATTACCCTTCAATCGACGATTGACGGTGTTGGCTGGGAGTTGAGGTGACGAGGGAAAGGGAGGCGACTTAGAAGACCGACCAGAGCCCACCAGCAGTAGTAGTCTTACATTCTACATAGCAGCACATATGTTATCTACATAAGGGTACAGTCGTTATCTCGGGGATTGATGCCTCCAACTAAGTACTAGTACCATTGCTATTTCAGCCTTCTTATGTACTCCAGACCTACTATCAGTATCGAGGTTTCTATCGTTTGCGGCGAGGCATACCGGGGTGAGATAGCGGCCATTGGCGATCGGCACTTGGAGGTTCGGTTTGTCTCCTGCATGAATATGACTAAGTAGTATATATTGGACAATTGTAGCTTCTATAGACGAAGTCCAATGTGATTCTAGACTTGAGTGCAATCTCCAATAGATAATGATAATCATAACGGGGATTCGCCAACGGCATCGGTCGACAAGAGGAACCAACACAGTGAGGGTCGCCTGAGCCTCTAAGCCCGATCGGGAAAGGGATCCCCCTTCCGAACCTCGTGCTCACTTTCATCTTGCGCTCCTCCGCCCATACGGATATCGACTCCTTCTACTCCTTCTTCCTCTTCCTCTTTCTGCTAATCTGATTGATACCATCCTCTTTGGGTGTCTCTCTTGCTTTTAGATAACTTACCTATTCATTTTTCTGGACTTTCCCTGTCCCCCCAAGAATGAGCCGGAAGCTCGCCCCCGAAGCCAATCGGTGAGTCTCCTCGCGCGAATCTGCCCCTCCGCCAGAGTCTCTTACTGCTCTTGGCCTGCCATCACGCAATAGTCGCTTTTCTCAACTACATGCGGACATATTGCCCATAAATGATCATATACGCTAACAAACGGTTTTCCAGGATTCTCTTCGTCAAGAACCTCAAGTACGTTTTATCTATCACTGCCCTGCTGCAAGATCGACAGTCCGGACTACTATCATGTCTTCTCCATATATGCGAATTCCCTATAGTGCCGGTTGATGACCAGGGACTGATGAGATGATTTCGTGCAGCTACAACGTGACTGCTGAGCAGCTATTTGACCTCTTCGGCAAATTTGGACCCATCCGGTAGGCCATACTCTTGAGACACACATGCATGCTCTGTGTTTTACAATATATAAGCTCACACTATCTTAGTCAAATACGCCAAGGAATTGCGAACAACTCAAAGGGTACCGCTTTCGTCGTATACGAAGACGTTCACGACGCCAAACAGGCATGCGATAAGCTCAATGGATTCAATTTTCAGAACAGATACCTCGTCGGTACGTGTGGCCTGCTGACAACAGAGAGGCAGTTGCTTGGTGCAAGGAGAATATTTTTGCTGATTACTGGATCTAGTGTTATACCACCAGCCGGAGAAAATGCTTAGGTCGAAAGAGGACCTGGCGGAAAGGCAAGAGAATTTGGAGCGTCTCAAACAGCAGCATGGGATAGAATAAGGCGCCTTTTTTCTTTTTGACGATTTCTCTGAGTACCCTTTGCAGGCATCGAGCTGCATCTTGTCTAACATGGGTTGGTTGTGGGGTTTCCGGCGTTTGACTCGTATGGTTTTCGTGGCTCTTAATTACGGGTATGAGGGTTCATGGCGGGTATAATGAGTCTCCCTGGTCGTCGTCTAGGGAATGAGAGAGTTAGTCTCGTCTGGGCTGGGATCTGTTTTGTTGTGCCGGCCAGTTGCTATCAACAATATTATTATCCTTTCCGTTGCTGCAGCATGGGCAGCTCGCGGACATTTCATCTCCAGCCGTCTTAGGGCATACGGATAAGAAGACAGTAGTTTAGAAAAAGTCTGCACCCGCAAAGCGTGATCAACGTGTTCCGAGAAGTTGCCACGGCTCTCACTTGTGGTCTTGCATGAGCTGAAGGTCACGACATCGCCTTCGAAAGACTACAGCATAGCGGAGGGGATATGGTAGAGGTCTACTCTGTACTGCCACCTGCACCCATTAGGGCTGATTTTACATGCTGGCATAACCAGGGTAAGATTCCTTTCCATTTCAGTGAGGTGACCTCGTAATTGAGGGCCAAATTCAGGTTGGTTTCCTTCAATACTAGTACTTCAAGGACAAAGATATACGGAAGCGATATGTGTAATAACAAAAGTGACAGAGCTTTCTCCTACGGACCTTTGACACGAGTAGTGTACTGGCATGAGGTCATTGCCTCACTGCCTTATAATTAAGGTATGAAAAGATTCCTGACCATCGGGTGCAGCCCATCCCAAAAGGGACTAGCGCCGGGGACACCTGCGGCCCCACTGACCATTTTCTCTTCAAGATTTTCTTTACAGGGCTCTTATCATGAAGTCTACTCTCAAGCATCTCTTTCCACCTATTCTTTAGATACCCTGCAATACGGCAGTGATCCTTTGAGTGAGCCATTTCATCTTATTTTGAAAAGCCAACACTCACTTCAAACAATGTCTGGTGAAACTTCTGCCGGTAAGCGAAATTATACCCCCTCGTCTTGCGACCATCTGCTAATGAATCCGCTCGTGCAGCCTGGCCCATTGCCGACGAGGCCCTCACCCAGAACCTCCTGGATTTGGTGCAGCAAGCTTCTCACTACCGTCAGCTGAAGAAGGGTGCCAACGAGGGTATGTCTATCTGGTTATCCTTTTGTCTCTTGTTCTTGACTGACATTCTGCCTCAGCTACCAAGACTCTCAATCGTGGTACCGCCGAGATTGTCATCCTCGCTGCCGACACCTCCCCTCTGGCTATCCTGCTTCACATTCCTCTTCTTTGCGAAGATAAGAACGTATGGTTTTTCTTCTGAAATACTTATACTCTGGTTGAATACTAACTATCAATCAGGTTCCTTACGTGTACGTTCCTAGCAAGCTCGCTCTGGGCCGTGCGACTGGTGTCTCCCGTCCCGTGATTGCGGCCAGCATCACCACCAACGAAGCCAGTGACCTGATGGGCCAGATCAGAACCATCAAGGACAAGGTCGAGAGACTGATGATCTAAACGTGGTTTCGATCTGTGGATGAGTGAGGCAATTCCAGAGTTTTGCTCTTACAGTACGAGCTGGTCGACATGGCCCAGACTGTAAGAGTGCATGAATCATAGAGTCAAATCGCGAGTCTATCTTCAAACTGAACTCGTCATACAAATGATTCAGGAAGTTGTGAAGGGGTTGAATATTATTGCCTGTACTTCTTCTCATGTCTTTGGATAATTGCTATATCTCGCTCGTCACATTGTCACCAATGAAGTGAGTTGTTTGACCACTCATCCCTCTTTTGGAGTAATATGTAGCGTAGGGAAATATAAACAAAAATAATCATTAGCCTAGACATATTTCGAATGTGAGAACTAGAAAGATAGAAGTGATGGCGAAATCGTCTACGCGCCTTGGCACTGCAGGATGAGCGGCGTGACTAAATCGAACTAGTGAACCATAGACCGTCACCTGGCGGAGGCATGTCTCATTCTGGCACTGACGACTTGTGGCATTTCAAGACAACCCACCTGGACTGGTTCCGACTCCTTGCTGGCAAAGGACACACACTCAAGACCTCTTTTCTTACCTTTCATGTATTTCCGCCAACTTTGATCTATCCAAGCTCGAGTCCTAAGCATTGTGGCGGGTCCAGCAGTACACTCTATTTCGGTCATCATCACTGATGCCTGCTATACGAGCCGCCCTCGTATTATAGGGAGCTCTTGAAAGAGCCCTAGTTTCATTGCCTCGACGTGCCTTATTTTCTTTTTGGAGATTGTGGACGTCGAAAGCGGAGATAGAGCAGCAATGTCTCTCCCGTCTATGACTTCACTGGCAGCGGCGGCTACAGCCATCGCCGTAATGAGCAGTGGCGCCCCAACACCATCAGCCACACCTTCAATACCTGTACCTTCCATGGCTGGTCCGCATCATGATCCTGATGGGGAAGATAATGGAGAATGCAGGCTGCTGGGTCCCTTTTCGATTCTCGTCCAAGCGGCACTTGGATCACTGGCGCTGTTGTCCTTGGTATACAAGCGCTGGAGGGAGAGACCCCAGCGGCCTGTGAAGGTGTGGGCATTTGATGTATCGAAACAAGTCTTTGGGTCGGCAATGCTACATCTTGCGAATCTACTCATGTCCATGTTCTCGGCCGGCCAGTTCGAAATCACGAGCAAATACAGACCGAATCCGTGCTCGTTCTATCTATTAAATTTGGGGATTGACGTGAGTCATTTGCGGACATTTTTGGAATTTACTGTGATGTAGGAGCTGACAATTGACCTCCGGATCAAGACTACTCTCGGAATCCCCATTCTCATCTTCATTCTCCACATTCTAAACCGCCTAGCGGCATATACTCCTCTTGCGAATCCCCCGGAATCGATCGAGTCTGGAAACTATGGCGCTCCGCCACGGGCCGCCTGGTGGTTCAAGCAGGCTATGATATACTTCTTTGGGCTATTAGGAATGAAAATCTGCGTCTTCTTTCTCATTCAACTACTGCCCTTCATTGTCAAGATAGGTGACTGGGCACTGCGCTGGACGGAAGGGAACACAGCTCTGCAGATCATCTTCGTCATGCTACTTTTTCCAGTGATCATGAACGCGATCCAGTACTACATCATCGATACTTTCATCAAGAAACCGCTATCTCGAACTCACGAGCTGCTCCAGGAAGACGATGAGGTGGAAGATGCTTTGCTGGATGACGGTCGGACACCGCGCAATGCACTGCTGTCTAACGTTGACGATGCTGATACATTTGGGCCGGATGAAGGTATTATAGGAAAGGATCTGGGTAAAAATCTGGAACCACCTGCACGGCCGAACGGATTTGGTCATGTCGAGTACGATCCGGCAGTTGATGGGGAGTATTTCTCCCCGGCGTCATCGGCGTCTGCCAGCTCCAGCAGCAGTCATGGAGAATATAATGCAATGTCATCTTCGACAAAGCTTACACTTCAGAACAAGAGACCATGACGACCTTGTTTATGCTTATGCGTTGGCGTTGGGTGCTTGATCTGGGTACTTCTGTGCCAATGGCGGCCAGTCCTGCTCTTTTTTGATTCGCGGCCTTATACACTTCCAAATCTGTTTATAGCGATCCAAAGGACATGTATATGCTTTAGTCACTCCAGTAAGATATCGACTCATCGTGCAATCGAGGCCATGGGTAATATATTAGGCATAGGGTAGAGTATGCAGAATTGGCGTGTCATCCTCTTTCCACGACAAAGGCTATTCTTGAATAATTATCCCACGACCTATTGGAATAAACTAGTCATTTTCAATGTTTCAACACTGTTGACCGTCACCTATATAGCTGTGTTGCTGCTTGAACCGGAGGATGCCATAGGCATCAATCCCCACCGCCAAGGACACCGCCTTGTTCTGCCGTTGAAGCGAAAAGAAAATTATTGTCGGGTCTTTTGACGGCCCGCAGACGATATTTCATTCGATCTGGACAATAGTCTCACATTCCGCTTTCTATATATGGTACGTTTATAATTATTTCGATTTAAACGGGTTTCCTACTATCGTCTGAGATTTCTCTCATCCCCACCGACGGCAAGATGCCCAAAACCACCGTCACCGTCAAGGAAAAGACCCGCCAAAAGACGACGGCAAACTCGCGCTCTCCGTTTGAGAATGGAGCTTCTTCCAAGCCTGTTGACGAGAGTGACGCTTCCGACGTGGAAATGGAGGTCGACGGCGTTGAGACCGAGAAGATGCGCGAGAAGGATGAGGCGGAGAAGAAACTGGAGAGAATGCTCTTCGGTGATGATGAGGGTTTCGTGGGTGCATTGAAGAGCCAGGATCGCGATCTTATGGCATTGATGGCGAAGAGCGATGAGGAGAGCGGCAGTGAAGAGGACGAGGGCGATGATTTTGATGACCGGGATTTGTCAGATGTTGCCGATGCAGATGTTTGTTCATCCTTCCCCCGGTGGAGGTGCGCGTGCGCTAATAGAATCCCCTACAGCTCTTCTTCCTCGATTCTGGCACTGCGCCAGTTGGTACTGAGCTTTCAGAGACTTCGGCGGCGGGGTCCGACTCTGAGGAAGACACAGAAGCGGAGGAGACGCATCGCGCGGTGTGGCACGATAGCGACGATGAGCGCCTCACGATTTCGCTGGCTAGTCACCAGAGGTTGAGGAAGTTGCGCGTCACCGAGGCGGAGGATGTCATCAGCGGCAAGGAGTATATAAAGCGGCTTCGCCGGCAGTTCGAGCAGCTGCACCCCGTACCGGACTGGGCCAACCCGGAATTGAACAAGAAACGGACCGATTCGGACTCTGATCTTGACAGCGACATGGATACGGACGATGAGAATGAGCGGCTATCCACGCAACCGTTGGCCAAGCTGCTGCAAGGTGCTACTGATCTGACCACGCTTGGTGAAAGCACAGGCACAGGAGGCAAGAGAAAATTGCGACAGGAGGTGATAGATATTCACAGACTTAAGGATGTTGGCAAGGATCAGCCGGTAAGTTTCTGTGCCAGCGGCAATATTTCGTGATTTTGGTATTAATGCTTCTGTTGCAGTCTTCCATCGACTCGCTCATGTTCCACCCTCACTATCCATTGCTTCTGTCATCCGGACCTGCAGCAACACTTTTCATCCATCACATCTCACCCTCTGCGGAGGCTCCCAATCCCCTTCTCACGTCCCTTCACATCCGCCGTACACCCATCCACACCTCCGCTTTCGCTCCTCCTACCGGTAACAAGATCTTTGCCTCTGGTCGTCGACGATACTTCCACATTTGGGATCTCGATACTGGCAAGGTCGAGAAGGTCAATGGCACTGCAGATCGTAAAGAAGAACAGAAATCCATGGAGCGGTTCAAGCTTTCGCCCTGTGGGCGGTACGTCGGACTGGTCGGCTCCTCTCGCAAAGGAGGTGGTATCATCAACGTTCTGCACTCGGAGACGGCGCAGTGGATTGCCCAGGTTCGCGTGGACGGCCGTGGGGGTGTCGCGGATTTCGCCTGGTGGAGTGACGGAGAAGGTATGACTGTCGCGAGCAAGAATGGTGAGGTGTCTGAATGGGACGGACGTCTGAACCGGGTTGTGGCTCGCTGGATGGACGCCGGTGCCGTGGGCACAACGACACTCAGCCTTGGTGGACGCTCTGGACGGACACAGTTGGGTGGAGACCGCTGGGTTGCCATTGGAAGTTCCAGCGGTGTGGTCAATGTCTACGACCGTCGCGAATGGGCGGCCGCATATGCTGCACAGCCTGCCTCTTCGGAGACGTCGCCGATCCCGCGTAACCCGGAGCCTGTACGTGCCCTGGATCAACTCACCACGCCCATCAGCCATCTGGTCTTTGCACCAGACGGGCAGTTCCTTGTCATGGCTAGTCGGTGGAAGCGGGACGCATTGAGATTGGGTAAGCCTCTATTTCTGTCAATGCTTATGATGACTTTTTACTGACTGACACCCTACAGTTCACCTTCCCTCTTGCACAGTGTACCGCAACTGGCCCACATCCAATACGCCTCTTGGCCGTATCTCGTCAGTAGCTGTCTCCCCTGGCTCAGATCAGCTGGCAGTCGCCAACGAACAGGGCCGTATCCGACTCTGGGAGATTCGCGGGTAGATGGTGGATTGCAGACATGAGATATTTGGAGGTAGAGGAAAAGTTGTTCTTGTACAATTAGGCATTGCGCATCGTATAGATCTAGCATACATTCAAACGATAAAGATCATAGCACATATCACACGGCTATCAGCCAATAATAGATTCCCGGCTCATAAGCTTAAGTCGAACAGACAGAACGCGTACTCCATTCCCGCCCTAAAATCACTGCTAAAACAAAAGGAAAAAGACCCGAAACTTCATCATTGCGCAGTCATTAATGAACTCAACGATTTCATAACCCCCTGCGGATAGTCAGCACCCCATCCCACCGAAAGAGGCCAGCCTCATGAACGCATCACTTACATCAAGACCGAGCTTTATAGCGAAACAAAAATAATCATCAGCATCTACTCACACCAAACTGAAATCCGGGATAAAATAAACTCACCGAATTCATAAGCTACCCGTAAATCACAATCGTCAGCAAACATGGACGCCAGCAGAGCGGAACCAGAACCTGGTCCGCAAATATAAATTTAACTTACCGAGCCAACGATATGAACCTTTTGCACGCATCAGTTTAGCACACCTCAGAACAAACAGAACAAGAAAGCTGAACCTACCTTCTTCCCATCATTATTCTCCGGATCACTCTTGCTCGCGGCAGTCAAGTTCGATTTCGAGTTCGATTTCGAGTCCGATTTCGAGTCCGATTTCGAGTCCGATTTCGAGTCCGATTTCGAGTTCGAGTTCGGGCTCGGGCTCGGGGCCGGCGTGAGCGTGACGAGGACATTGTTCGTGGAATCGAGCTGGGCCGTCGCGGCGGACACAGAGGGTGGGAAGAGTTTAGTGCTGAGAGTCGGGACGAGGGTTGTGTCTGGTGGGAGGAGTTTGGTGGTGGGTGTCGGCACGAGGATAGGAGCTGACACGCGGATGGTGTTTGTGTCGGTGCTGTTGTCGTCTCTTACCCATCGGTGAGGAAAGGCCAGGGTTGTCGTGGCGATGGCCATGGTGAGGATGGTAATGACGCCCTTCATTTCTGCTGGTTATTTGTGAGAGTAATTGCTTGCGTGGTTAGCTATGATGGGGAGTTGAGAGAAAAGAGAGCAGGGCCACCTTGGTAGTTCGACGGGAGTTAACAGCTAAGTTAAACGATGGTAACAGCTGTCTTCCAAAGCTTAATGTCAGTTGGAAATAATAAAGAGTTCAGTTCCACATGTTGTGTGTATATATGGGCCTGTTGTCTGGTACATGTGATAACCCCAGCTTCGAGGCAGCACAACAATGCAGTTCTGTGGATCAACCGATAAGGCCCAGCCCATCTGCCGGGGCAACGTGCCTGCCATAATGCCATGAGACCCTGGCATTTTATAACGGGTCATTATTCCGAACACCGTGCTCCTTGCGGAGGCGCATTCGTCATGTCAACCGGGTATCGGGTTGGGGTTTGAATATGCTATAGAAACGGCAAGACTGCTATTTCATATGAGATCCCGTCAATCAAATGTCGTAGATGCTGACGAAGAATTTGTCGCAGTGTCGTCCAATTCGTCGGTTATTGAGGCCAGTCTGTTTTGGGGTATTCGAACATTCCAGCCGTGCCTTTGGAATGCTGGGTTCCTTGGGCGAATCTGAACATGTCTGAAAACCCAAAACTAGCAAAGAATCCAACTTGTCCCTGATTGAGCATCTAGATCCCTTGCCGAGCGCTCAGACCTCTTCATGTCACTTGTCCGCTGAGGCGGATATTCTAGAATGATTGATGTGCAGATGATGTTGGTAACTCAGAAGCGGCAAAACAACCAGCGCTGCCGTTCCCTGGCAAGTTCAACTCCGTCAGTTGACTGTTAATGTAAGTAAATATGTTAGTCTTCCAGCGCATTTGGATGGGTTGTGTTGGTAGCGTAATATCATTCATTGAGCCTGTATTTTTGTATGTACAGACACTCGCATTCAGTCGGGTCGTTCTATGGGGTCTGTAGTCAAGAAAGACCAAGTGCATCCTCCATGACACCGACAGATTCGTACTCTTGTATAGCGTTCATGGATATTTTTCGTCAAACCCAGGGCCGCTTCCACTTGCCATACCAAAACACCGTATCCAAAAGGAAACTCGTCAACAGCCAAAAAAAAAAGTCCTTCCAAATATCAGATATTGACATTTAAAGCAGTTTCTGCATTTCGTCTTTGTTCCGGATACCAGCCAGGTTGCCGGCCTTGACACGCTTGAGAGTCAAGGCGGCGATCAGCGCGGCACCGACACCGGAACCATCCTCGGCCGCCATAATGGTGACCTTGTCCTTCTCGTTCGGGGCCCAGTCCAGGATCTCTCGCAGAGCCTGGGCACCACGAGCCTTGAAGTGAGGGTACTTGGTGAAGACGGAGCCGTCCGCACCAACGTGGCAGCTCTCGATGTTCTTCTTTTTGCAGATAGCCGCCACACCGCAAGCTGACAGACGAGCTGCACGCGTACCGATCAGCTCGGCCAGACGACGAATCATCTCGAGCTCGGCCAGAGTGGGCTTGATGTTCAATTCGCGCTCGAACAGCTCCTGTGTTTCCTGCAAGTTCTCGTAGGGGTCCTCCTCGATGGCAGCCAGGAAGGAAGCGTCCAGCAAGTACGGCTTGCGCAGCTTGCTGGTGTCCTGATTCTGGAAAATCAGTCCTGGTCTGCTGTCCAGGAGATCAATCAGGGCCAGACGGAAGATCTCTCCCAGGTAGAGACCGGCTGTCATCTTCTCGAAGGCCTGCTGACCCGGGCGGGGAGAGTCGCGGTCAATGATGTGATCGTACTTTGTGAGGGGAAGAACAACGTGCTCGTTGTCGAAAGCACCGTACTCGCAATTGATGGCCACTGGCATGTCTGGGGGCAAGTTCATGTGGGCCAGCTTAGGGACGGAGCCAACATCCTCCATGTAGGCCGCATTGACACCTGTACCAAAAATACATCCAATCTTCATCTCGGGATCAGTGTAGGCCGAGGCGATGAGCGTTCCAGTGGTATCGTTGATCAAAGCAGCGACCTTGATAGGAAGTCCCTGAAAAGCCCATTGTTAGATGTCCGTAGATTGGCGGCAACAACTAAGAGAAGGCATACCTTTCTCTTCAGTGTTTCCTCCAGGGGAGGGACGACATCCTGTCCCTCGACACCATCAATGTCGAAGCCCTTAGTCCAGCGCTGAAGAACACCATGATCAATGTACTCTTGTGTAGCCGGGTAGGAGAAGGTGAAACCCAGGGGCAATGATGTCAATCCTTCCTCTCCGTGGTGGAACTCAATGAATTGCTGTATGCAGTCGGCGATGTATTCCCACAGCTCCTCAGCGGTTCCGGACTTCAGTTCTTCCGGCATGCGGTACTTGGACTGGCAGATATCGAAGCCTCCCTTCTCTTCTGTCAAGGTAATCTCACAGACGCGGAGGTTGGTGCCACCCATATCCAAGGCAAGGAAGGTTCCCTGCTCGTCTCCATCGGGGAAGTCCATAACCCAGGTAACGTTCATCGGCTGTTGCGTAGTCCTAGTGGTCAGCGTACAAGGCTTCTCCGGACGGATGCGGTCAAGCTCACGATGTTACCACCCTCCACACTGAGACCTAATCAGAAACCGCAGGTTAATTTCATTACATCTCTCTGATGGCTACCGGAGCTATCAAGAAATAGGTAAAAGACAAGGGCTTACCCTTCTCGAGCTCCTTGACGAAGTGGTCAACCACCTGTTTGAGCTTGGCTCTGTCCACAGTAAACATCTCCTCGAAATCCTTAATCTGCTGTAGAAGATTCTGAGGCACATCGGCCATCGATCCTGTTCCAATTGCACTTCGAATGAGCCATCCTGCCAAATGTTTTGTAGCTTCGACCAGTTTGACCTACCCTTGCGGGATGGGGGGCGCTTGGGACCAATTCCGACCATTGTGTAATTAGAGTGTGTATTCGAAAGGAAAGATAGATATGAACAATGAAGGAGATATATGAAAAGAAATAAGAAGGAAAAGAGAGAAAAGGCGCGGATGAGTTGGGAGGGAGGGGAGGGGGGAGGATATTGATAACGAGAACTACGGACTATGAGGTATCTAGGGACACCGTGGGGCAGCGACCGGAGAAGGTCCAAGAGAATCAACCATTGCCAGAGCCACCGAAGAAGGCCCCGCACAGAACGATGAAATCGCAGTGGCCGTTGATCAACCGATTCCCTCACCGGTCGGTCTCTTTCAGCTGGGGTCGAGTTCTAGTGAGAACCGAATTTTTTGGCATTACTCTATTGATACTCCATCCATGTCTATCGAGATACCGAGTTTCTGCTCTATGGGTTGGGGGTTCAGCTTCATACCGAGTCCCTCCCCACCTTTCGCAGGATCCGATGACAACCTTAATGCTTCCCAAAGGATTATCTAAATAATAGCAAATGATTTAGAATCGAATCCTCAAAAGCCGGTGAGATTCGGAGATCCTTTTGTGATGCGTCAACTCCGCTGTTGGCGCCTCGATAATAACAATAGTCAATAATTCATCCAGTAAGCAGAGCTGATCGCTTCTAGAACATTGCTTATTATGGTTACTATACCTTTGGTCTACCTCTGTTGTCTTTTCATGACCATAGCTCATCTTCATTAATTCATTATTTTGCATACCATCATTCATCTATCCCTCGCCTAAAGATTCATTTAGGTTTTCATTATATTCACATTCATGTGAGAAAGTTTAGGATGCAAGAGAATCAACCATCCGTGATCCGCCAAAAGCCACATCAGCGCCATCATTAAATAGTGGTCACACTAAAGGACTCACATGGCTCACATGGCATTTGACTTCTTCCTTTGACTAGCCAAATGAGGGAATACATGTTCCAATCCCCCCTCGCTGTCATGCACAGCTGTTGGTTGTAGCTCCCTTGCTTTCGCATCTCCTGTGACAAGCGCATCCTGGGCAAGTCCTCCGTCCATCTCCTCATCACGGGGGATTCCGGACGACTGGCCCAGGGGCTCTTTATTTGACAAGGCCTGGGCACGGTGGGCTGCTGCCGTCCCTTGTCTGATGCCTGCTTCCTTCTGAGAATGACGATCCAATTGCTGTCGCACTCTTTCTTGATACGTCCCGGAAAATCCCAGCGCTCGATCAACTTCTTCTGTCAGACGCTCCACCTCATGGTGTAGTCGTTCGTCTCTCGTCCATAAAGGTGCATTCTCGGCCTCTCGTGCCTCTTTATCAGGATTCGTCCTCTCCCACAGTTCCTCAAGTTCCTGTTCCCAACCGAGCGCTCGTGCGAACTTTCGCACACCGGCATCACAATCGCCCAAAAGAAGGACATCGTCGGGACGAGACCCCATACCTCCCACACGTTCCATGTTAATCAGCACTCGCGGAACGCCCTCACGACAGAATGAAGGTAAACTAGCAAATGGGTGTACAGTGAGACTCGTCCCCATAACAATACATAAATCTGCTTGTTCTGGGAGACTTCGGTTTGCATGGAATTCCTCGGGCAGGGCTTCTCCGAAGAAGACAATGTCCGGCTTCACAAACCCATTGCAATGAGGACAATGAGGCACCTCCCCTTTGGCAATAGCCTCTTTCATTTGAGGTTCAGGGTACGCCGCCTTGCAGTCAATACAGTGTTGCGACGCGAAGCTACCATGGGCCTCGACAATTTTCTCGCCTGGGACTCCCGCCAGGCGCTCCAAGCAATCAATGTTCTGTGTAAAGTGTTTCAACAGCAGTCCCTTATCATGCAGTAACTTGACAAACGAATGCGCAATAGTTGGTCGATACCGGCCAGGCGCCAACTCACGCGCCAAGGCGTAGAACGGTCGAGGGTTCTCTCGAAAGTAACTGATATCGAACACATCCTCCGGCTCTGGCAGATCTAGAAAGGCTAGATTGGAGTAAAGACCCGTGTCTGGGGAGCGAAAGTCGGGAATGCCCGCCGAGGTACTGATTCCAGCCCCTACCTGCCATCACCATCGTTAGCCCTCCTTGCGGGGCGATCTCGGAATATGGCATACCATGACCACAATGCGTCGCACATCTTTCTCTTTTATATATTTGGCTACGGATTCAATATTCCGCACCTCCAGTACCGACGGGGAAGTTCCCTCGTCGACCACAGTGGACGTTTCACTGCCCATGTTGCGTCGCGAATATCCAGCACTGGGCCGCTATGCTGGTGTCTGGAACTTCGTCGGCGGTCAATGCAGCTGGTAAAGGAGCTCAACTTCTTATCAATTATGTTTGAGAATATAAATGATGAATAGATAATAGAGGCACAAAGACGTAGCAAAGAAATTCACCGTTGATAGCGAACCAGTAGCAAATGACGTCGAGTTGATATCTCAGAAGGAGAAAATCCCCCGATTGGGTAGTCGGTGGGCCTGGCTGCCTGAGGCTTGCAATTGTACAGCAATCGGTCTCCAAGAAGAAGATTTGGTATTATATTTTCATGCGTCTCAGATCAGGAATTGTTGTTAATACAAGATAGTGCTCTTCAAGATAAAGTCCATTGCACTTCTTTCAATTGAGCGAATGTTCTAAAGCGATAACAGCAGCTGCCTAAGGTATAAGCTTCTCACCGCCCACTGGTTGCTCTATCTACTCCGTATCTGGATCGGATGAATCTCCGCGCTGTCAACAAGACAAAGACACATTGCAACTTCCACCCACGCTCCGTCGACCAGGGGTCCGGACACGATGTCCAGGACAGAACGCTCCATCACCAATGGGCATGCGGTTTCTTCTGAACAAAATGGAGACCGCGCGAACGCTCACCTCCCGATTGACGTGTTCAACGCCAGCTCCGTTGCGGAGATCAAGGCCGCCCTGTCACACCTCCATGACCAAGAGGTCGCCGTCACCGCTCGGCTGGACGCCCTTGTCGCTTCACAGAAAGATTTCTCCCGGGAGCTAGGGCGGCTAGATCTTCTTCGCGCCCATTTGGGTTCCCAGACCAGCACCACCCACGCAATCAGCCATGGCATGTTGTCCGACGCTGCGGCTACCGCAGATCGCATCTCGAGTGCCGTCCGTCGGCTCGACCTGCAGCAGTCAAGAGTGAAAGCGACGCTGGAAGTGGTAGAGCAGGTTTCGGAGCTGAAGGCTTGCGTTCTGGGGGTTGCAGGCTCCATGGGGGCCCCGCAGGACTGGGAAACGGCGGCCAGTTATCTGAACAGGGCGTCCAGGGTACCTCCGGAGGTGGCTCATGGTACTTTTGCAGCCGAGATGGTGCCGACTGCTGAGGTTCCTGACCCGCCAAATGTCACTCTGGATAATGCGGCTGAATCGCTTTGCGGCTTATTCCTGCGCGAGTTCGACAAGGCCGTCAAAGAGAACGATGGCGCCAAGGTTACACGGTTCTTCAAGCTGTTTCCTCTTATTGGTCGCTCTGAGGTTGGTCTGGATGTGTATGGGCGCTATGTATGCCAAGGAGTGGCATCGCGGGCGCGAGCGAACCTCAATGCCGGCACGGGAGGTGCTCAAAGCAAAGATGGCTTCTTCTACGCAAATGCGCTGACGAAACTGTTTGAGCATATTGCCCAGCTCATCGATGGACATGGAGGTCTTGTGGAGCGCCATTACGGCCCGCGGAAGATGAACAGGGTCATTGAACGTCTACAACTCGAGGCAGATCTCCAGGGTGGGATTATTCTGGACACCTGGAACGACGAGCGGCACGTCGATCGCAAGCTTACGGACATCAAATCGTATGCTTTCACTTTCTTGGTGCAGAGTTTTCTTCCCGCTCAACGCAGTGCAACGCCTCGGTCGAATTCCCCGGCGACTCGCGAAGGGCTCCCCGCTGAAGACGAGGGGGTAGACATGAAAGAGATCGACGGGCTACTAAACGAAATGGCAGTCATGCTGGGCCGCTGGTCTCTCTACTGTCGATTCATCGCTGAAACTTGCAATGTAAGTTATCTGACTGTCTCAACAAGCCTTTGGATGAACATATTCAGAAAGCTGACACTGTGCAAGGCCACCGAGGACGAGAGTCAAAAGTTTACACCACCCAAGTTTCTACAGGAAGCGAGTCTTTCCAAGAAAATCACTGACCGTCTGACCAATCCATTCAATACTATGACGACTTTTTTCTTCCGTCGCTCGGTTGAAAAGGCGTTTCAGTTGGATGAGCAGCCTTCTGGTCTGACCCTGCACCCTCAAAAGCCATTGAAGGCAGATCCTCCTCATATCACATCTGCAGTGGACGACATCATGTATATTGTCAACAAGGTCTTGCAACAGTCACTGGCCACGTCACAAGTCTCGGTAGTGACTAATGTCGTCCCCACATTGGGACGAGTTCTTGGATCGGACTTCATCGGAATGACCCAAAGAAAGATGCGTGATGAATGCTATCCCAAAGCGCCCGTCCAGGGGGCTCAGCCGCCTGAACAGACCGTAATCTCTTTTCTGGTCTTGATCAACAACCTGGATGTTGCCGTCGACTACATACGCCGCATTGTGCAGAACCACACCGAGACGAAAAAGACCATCACTGGCCCGGATGGTCAAGTTGAGGAAACTGACCAGCTGAGGTCCTTGTTCCCCGTGCCTGCAGAAGCCCAACTTGCGGCTCAGACGCTGCAGACCCTCGCCTCGTCCTTCGAGTCCAAGGTGAATGACCTCCTGTCCGACGGCATCCAGGTCGTATTCAACAATGTCGTCAAGCACCGCCTGCGACCTATCCTTGCAGATGCTTTCCGAGACATCGAATACCAGCCACGGGACGACAGCGACCCAACGAGCACAGTCTACCACGACTACGGCGAGGGAGACGAGGACGTCGACGACGGCGCCAGCCGAGCGGAGCTGGTCCGTCCCCGCTTCGCCGCCAGCTGGACCGCGCTTCTCCTCCCCATCTCCCGCATCCTCACAGCCTTAGCCTTTGATCGCCTTCTGAACGTCACAGTCGCATATCTAGCCCGTCTGCTCGAGAAGCGACTATGGTCATACCACGGACGGATCAACGCACTAGGCGCCACCCGACTGGAGCGCGACGTCTCGGGCGTGGTAAGCGCAGCGGTGGACGTCGGCGGCGCCCAGGGGGCCTCAGGACGATACCGACACCGGGAGGCGTTCGCCCGCTGCCTGCAGATGGTGCTGGTGATGGGCATGGACGACGACGAATGGGAGGATGTCACCCGCGGCGGCGAAACGGCAGACGTGCTCGATAAGATCAATCGGGAGGAGCGCGCGCGCATCCGTGCAATGGTGCGGCGGTGATCTCACCTTTCCTCTTTTACATAGTGTATAGACTCGCCGCGAAATGTAAATAGCATAACCGTGAGATAGAAGCATTTCACTGTAACGCGGCAACACCCTTGCCCAATCAGACAGACGTACTCACCCCTGGCTCTCGTCTAAGACTAAAACACAGTTACTAGCGCAGGACTTATATCTCTCATAGAAACATGATATCCAGAGAGCCAATGCAGCACAGCGAGGTGGAGTTTCTGAAGTAGCCAGTAATGGACCTTAAGAGCCACGCAATACCATCACTGGGCCTGCCATGTGTGAAAGCGAAATTCACTTATGGTGCTACCAAATATACAATAAACAAGCACAGATTATCTGATCGTTATTGAATTATTCAAGTCTATACACGTGGTATCGTTGCTAGCTCCAATGACTGACATCCCGCCGGTCAAAAAAAAGTATATACAAAACAGCCGTAGATCAGGACCAGATGAACGCCGATGTTGCTAAACCAAGAGTCACAGACAGCGTGGGGTGAGGGGGAAAAAAATGCACATGGAGTCAATGGCGTAGCCCCGGGCGACGCAACATTGGAAAGCGGAAACAGGAAAAAACGATGCTGGATATCTCGAATAGTCGCTTGGAAAGGAAACAAGAACAAGAAGGGGGTCGGGGTGGAAGAAAAGGGGTTTAACTGAGGGTGGAAGAAAATGAGGTAATGAGGCAGGGGATGAGGGTATTATGATGAGCCGTCGTGCTTCTCGTCGATTTGAGGAGCTGCAGGTGTCTCGTGCGTCTCTTGAGCTTGCGCAGGAGGATTGTGCTCGGCGACCTGTCGAGGAGCCGGTGCAATCTTAATCTCCTGAATGCCAGAGTCGCCTTCACTGCATCCTCGGCTGTCGATTCCAACGGGAGTCTGGCCTTCGAGCATCTCGCTGTGCTCTCCAATGCCATAGCGGGCAGCGTGGGGGATCTCATGGCCGTCTTCGAGCTGGTCGTGCTTCTGAGGCGTCCAGGCCAGGTAATCACGGCGAACTTCGACATAGTCGTATGCGAACTCGCCGAGCTGGTCGTCATCCATGCCGAGCAACTCGGCCTCTTCGGAGGCACGCAGTTTCAGGCCAGGAATAGCGTTGATGGCATAGGCAATGATGGCGGAGACGACGAAGGAATAAGCGCAGGAAGCCACGATGAAAGCAATTTGAATGTAGAGCTGCTTGTAGTTGTGGATGACCCATCCACCGACTCCTGTCCCCGTGTTCACACCGTCCAGACCGACGATTGCATCGTCTGCGAAAAGGGCGTTGAAAATAAGGCCAACGATTCCCGCGACACCGTGTTCGGCGAACACATCCATAGAGTCATCGATACGGATCCAGTATTTAACTAGACAAGAAGAGTGGTTAGCAAAGCGAACTGGACACCATAAACGTTGTCAACTTACCCTTGGTTGCATAGTTGCAAACAACGCCAGTCACGATACCAAGGATAACACTGGCCCAAGGGGTCAAAAAACCAGAGGCGGGAGTCGCAGCGACCAGGCCGGAAATAGTGCCGGAACACCAGCCGACCATCGACCACTTTCTGGCCAGACGCCAATCAAGAAGAACCCAGGTAATAGCTCCAAAGGCAGCAGTCAGGTTTGTGTTCCAGCAAGCCATGGTGGCCCGAATGTTGGCACCGAAGGAAGAACCACCGTTGAATCCAAGCCAACCGAACCAGAGGAAGACGGTTCCGAGGAGAATGAGCGAGACGTTGTGAGGGCGGAAGTTCAACATCATACGTTCCTGACGACGACCGAGGACCATCGAATAGGCGAGGGCTGCCATACCGGATCCGATTTCGACAGGACCACCACCGGCATAGTCCAAAACACCGTATTTGAATGCCCAGCCGTTCACATTCCATACCCAGCAAGCCATAGGACAATAGACGATAGTAGCCCAGATGAAGGTGAAAACCATGGCCGGAAGCAGACGTCCACGTTCTGCAACAGCGCCCATAATAATAGCCGCAGTGACACCACAGAATTGCATCTATGCCAGACAGGCTTGGTCAGCCTGCAATGTCCGCTAAATCCTAGCAAATCTTGAATAGTGATATCATACCTGGTAGAAAGCATAGAGGAGATTAGGAATGAGAGGTGATCCAGGACTCGGGTCGGCCAGAGTTTTCATGAGACCAAAGTTGCGAAGGTTGCCAATGTAGCCATTGGTGGCAGTAGGAGAGAAGGCGAGGGAATAACCCCAAAAGTACCACTGGAAGGTGACGACCGAGAATGATGCCATACAGGCCCAGATCATACTCAGAGCCGACTTACGACGAGCGAGACCAGAGTACAGGAATCCAAGACCGGGAATCATGACCATGACCATGGCGGAGGCCACGATGATGTACGCCTGGTCACCCGATTGAAACCATTTGTTTAGATTCTCCGTTCCTGAAAATGATGCCGTTAGAATCATGGTCCCACACAAAGCGAGCAGAAACTAGAAAACATACTGGAATCACCGCCAATATCATTTGTGGCGAGCTGTGCATAGTTTGCGGGAGCACCAGTCCAGTTGTATGACGCATAGTCCGGGATATATGGAGCGACGCCTGGTTGAGACGACATGGTGAAATGCTGAAATTATGATTCTACGTGTATGCTGAGTCGACGAAGAATGCAGAGAATTTCAATGCACGCGAAAACCACCAGACTCTCTCTCCCGGGATGTGTCGTGGGCGGAGAGAGGGATATAGTTATGGTTTCCGATGCCGGAGGAAGTGGCAGAGAGCGGAAAAGGCTAGCGAGGACGATGACACGATCGGAGGGCGGGAAGTTTCGGTTGCAGAGAAATCGTACAGACGGATCGAAATGGATATATTGTTGGCTAGAGCTAACCTCCTACTTCGCTCACTCAAAAACGAGACTGTTGTTGAAAAGAAGGATCGACCGAGCGAGTGAGAGAGTGAGCAAGTGAAGAACTGTAGACTCCGCTCTGTGGAGAAGGACAATTGCCACGGGGGCGGAGGACGTAGTATATAAGAAGATGGCGAGAAAAGATAGATAGGGTCATAGGAATTTAATCAAGAGTTCTGGAAAGGCATCCCGGTGGGCCTGGAATTGGACGGGACAGACGAATTTGCGTTTGCAATCTGAAGGAGTCAAGCGATGATAGCGATAGATCGACAGTCTTCCATGGGCAGACAAGGCAGTGGAAGCTGTGGGGCAGTAATTATCGATATTTTTAAAATGCTTTCCTGGTCTCTTTTTTTATCCGTTCTTTGGTGATGATAGATATCGGTTGATATTAGTGTTCGTATTAGTCTTCCAGCTTGATTGATAGATACTGGTCCTGGGACACTCAGCAGCGATTTCCCTGTAAACAAAATAAATTAAATTAATAACAGTAAGAAACTGCGTAAGACGAAATAAAGCAACAAAAAATATCTAAAAAAGAAAACCTCCTTGCAGCTTTGGAGGGAGACGCGGTTAAACCAGAAAAATAAAAAAAAGTACCGGGAGATAACATGCAGAAGACACCCAATGGAATAATCGTTTCAATAAAGTAAGATAAGAAAACAGCCAATAACATGCTGGAGCCTAACGGCTCTTGGCCAATCAGCCACAGATGAAAACAATCTCACCAATCAATGGCGATCCCATATGAAATAGAGCTCACCTCCAGAGCTCGACGACCAACATCATGATCTAGGACACACTGAAGACTCGACCGACCTCCTGTCCGCATTTCCAATGACGGTATGAGAACACTTTGAGACAGCTGTTGCTCGCATCATAGCTTCTTGCATCCTCGAAGTGCCTCGTGGCGAATGCGCCTCAGTATGGAGTAAGTGCATATCCAACCCGATAGGACCCAACTTTAATCCACTCTGTTATCCCGGCCGGCCAAGACCACCGTCGAGATGGTGTGGGAAACTGACTGACTGTGGCGAATACATAATCATATTATCATTGCACTCCGTGGACAGTAGTCATCGTCATGGCTTGGTGGATAGGGATAATAGAGAGATAGATAGGAAGGACACTTCCACCCCCAAACATCGGTTCGTTGCTTTTTCCATGCCAGGTGGTCTTCAAATATTCCTCTTGGCTTCGAGCACTGACATGTGGTTTGTGGCTCATGTTCAGGCTGACTGTGTAGGTAGACTGTAGGTTGTTGTACAACCTCAAACCGCGTTGACTGCCGGGTTCTTACACTTATTTATGCTCTTGGTTAACCAACAACATGCTTCTCCAGGCAGGTAGACTGTAGTACTGCCTGCTATCTTGAGATGATAACATATCCGCCGATGCATGCCGCGATAGATAGATTGATAGATACTCCGTACAGTGATAATCGTACTCCAGGAAGTGTTGATGATATGAAGAGATACCTCCACTCTGCGGTACAGCCCCCATACAACTCCATCCGGACTGGCTGGTTCCTATGGCACAGATACCACTATCGACAGAGTTTCGAGTTTCAAGTCTCGAGTTGATCCGGAACGCGAATGCGGGTTCCTTATCAATTGCTGTTTCTCTCAAGTCATCTTTCGCTCACCCAGATAAGCAAATCGATTGGCTGTGAGGTCCCGATAAGGTCCTCGACGCCACCTGCCAAGTGGGTGGGGCCCGTTAGCTCCGGATGTGGTATGGCTGCAGCTGAAGGAGCCCCATAGCACTGATAACGAGAAGCTTGGCCAATAACATCTCGGCCCAAACCAGCCCTGGCTGGTTCCTGCTGGCTTTCCCTCATTTTTCCGAAGTCTCGTTCGGGCATTTCAGGAACCCAAGCTTCGTGCCCAGGATGCCCTTATCTGGAGTTCTGGAGTTCCTCCGGCTGGGCGCCCGGTCGGTTCGGGATCATCACTCACATTCATATATCAGCCTATCAGCCGGAAGCCCTTCTTGCCAGCAGCGCATCGATTTGGCCGCTCTCTACGCCATAGCTTCCAACTTGAAACATGGCTTGTCAGGAACACGAGCCCGATATATATTTGCTGACATTCATTTCGGGGTTGATGCCTGAAGCTCCGGTTCTATCACTCTAGTTCACTTATACTGTAGACCGCTCTAGGATATTGGGCCCTATCCATATATTTCCTGTGGACCGTCAGGTCGTTCGTACCTGGAGCACGGACCGTAACCATCACGCAGAACCATCATCAGCTTCGTAGATTCATCCATCTCAATCATGACTATGATCTATGAACTCGAAATAAAGATTTCTGCATAACGTCCAGTGGGGTCACTAGCCACTTAGCTAGTCAACGATATGCGGTGCTCCGTACTAGACTAGCCCTAGGTCGCATGGTCTCTGATTGAGTAACCCGCAGTATCTGTTACCAAATCACCAGCCTCTGCCGGCAATTTCGATGATTCTATTGGCATTTGACGACTGTCCAGGTCCATTTTTGACATCAACGAGCCGATTGACTCGCTACTCAAGAATCTAGGTGCTCTTGTGGTCGTGTGGGGATATCTGGGGTGGGCACATGGTTGCATCGGCAAATATATATCCGCCAGGAGCTCGGCACATTCCATAATCATGAAGCTTCAAGATGCGGTCGCCGATGAGTACAGACTCAGTAACCTCACATCTGCAAATATGAGTAGTCACCCAGTAATGATTTATCCGAATTAAAGGATCAGCATGGATAATGCATGGACTTTGAGACGGCTGGTACCTGTGCGGTAGAGAGCAGGGACATGCACTCGGAAGTCACAATGACCGACATATGCTATATCTAGACGAAAACTGGCTACCATCATCAACAACCTGGCCTGCTGGCCCAATGGTAAGGCGCTTGACTACGGATCAAGAGATTGCAGGTTCGAATCCTGCGTAGGTCAATTTTTTTTGCATCTCCGCCAACCGCTTTTATGGACGGATAAAGAGAGGGCCATGTACTTATTGACTCACGTAAATGACGCAGTTATGAAGCGATTAAAAGGTATGAGATTATGTATAGGGTTATGCATGTCCAATAGATAAGTGCCCCTTTTCATAGTACACAGCAAAAAAGCAAGACAACGCCCTTGCAGCCTCTCTATCGAATGCAGTCCATCAGTCATTCCCGTATCAAACATTGACACTGTACCCCACCCCAACTGCCCTTCGCCGCTTGACGGCGTTCAGGTATTTCCGACCCTCGTCCACCCAGAACACAGTGCTTGAAATGCACACAAGCCTGAACAGATGGGCGGCGTTGAGGGGTTCAGTCTGAAAAATGCGCTGGAAGAACGGAACATAGATTACGCAAGCCTGTCCGAACAAGGAGCCCAGAACCGCATAGTTGAACATCTTGTTCCCGAAGAGTGAGAGCTCGCCGCGGAGCACGGATTTGCTCTCGCTGCGACAAGTCAAAGCGTTGAACATGTCGAAAAGAACAAAGCAGGTGAACGTCATGGTCGTGTCGTGGGCAGTCACCACACGGGAGCGCTTCCCCGGGTTGGAGACATCGTCGGCGTCGCCCATCTCGTAGACATAGATCGCCAACGTACCGAGCATGATCATAAAGGCCGACGTAAGTACTCGTTGAATCAGCGGTCTCGTAAGAACCCGCGCCGTCCTCGATCGCGGTGGGCGATTCATTATGGACGGGTCGACAGGCTCAACACCCAATGACTGTGCTGGTGGGCCATCCATGAGGATATCTAAGAACATAGTCAGTAAACCAACAAACACAATTCAAAATCCATATAACCATGGGCAACTCACTGATCCACAGGATTTGCATGGCGTTCAGCGGGTTTTTGAAACCTAACAGAGTACTCAACAAGACAAGACTAAGAGCAGCCACACTGGTGCTGAGCTGGAAAGTAATAAAATTCTGGATGTTGTAGAATATGCCCTTGCCTTGCTCGATCGCACGCAAGATGGTGGAAAAGTCATCGTCCGTCAGGATCATATCCGCAGCCTCCTTGGCAACATCGGTACCCAACTTGCCCATCGCAATGCCGATGTCTGCCTTCTTCAAAGCTGGTGCATCGTTCACGCCATCGCCAGTCATGGCCACGACGTCTCCCCGAGACTGCAGAGCGCGCACAATTTTCATTTTATGTTCTGGGCTTGTGCGGGCGAAAATTGAGGTGGTCGAGATAGCTTGTGCAAGGTCCGCAGTACTCATACGGTCTAGGTCCTGACCGCTGAGAACAGGCCTCGACCCCGGAGAGTCTCTTACTGGCATTCCGAGTTTCTTAGCAATCGCCACCGCGGTCGTCTCTGCATCTCCTGTGATCATGATGACTCGTACTCCTCCCGCCATGAGACGCCTGACGGACTTGTGGACATCCTTTCGGGGAGGGTCGTTCATTCCAACCAACCCAGCAAAAACCAGTCCAGTGTATCGATCATCCTCGTCACCCTGACTTGTGCTTGAAAGGGGAGTACCGGATCTGCTGCCAAATACCCTCCCTCCTCTGGGCGTGTCTCTGACTGCTCCGCTCGCGAACGCCAACACTCTAAGCCCCTCAGATGCCATGTGTTCTGCTGCCTGCCTTACGGTATGGCGTCGCGGCTCATCCAGGATGACCTCACGACCATCCTTGGTCAGGTAAGTATCACACCGTGTCAGGACTTGTTCCAGAGCACCCTTAACATAGGCAACGTTATTGGCACCGGTAAA